GAAAGAGTACCAAAGCCAAAATTTGGTTCTTTGAAAAGATTAACAAAATTAACAAGTCCCAAACAAGACTGACCAAGAAAAACAGAGAAAACACAAATTATCAATAACAAAAATGAAAGCATACATCACTACAGATTTTATAAATATTAATATTAAAAAGCATAACAAGAGAATGTTATGATCAGCTTTATATCAATAAACTGGACCACATGGATATAACATAAATTTCTTAAAGATACAAAATCAAAAACTGAAATAAGGCCAAGCATGGTGGCTCACACTTATAATCCCAGTAATTTGGCAGGTTGAGATTGAAGAATCCCTTGAGCTTAGGAGTTTGAGACCAGCCTAGACAATATAGCAAGATGTAGTCTCTAAAAAAAATAAAAATAAAAATAATTAATTAACCTGATGTGGTGGCTAGCTACTTAGGAGGCTGAGGAGGGAGGATCTCTTGAGTTCGGGAGATCAACATTGCAGTGAGATATGACTGGGCCACTGCACTGAAGCCTGAGCAACAGGGGGAGACCTTGTCTCAAAAAAGAAAAACAAACAAACAAAAATCCACATTAAAAAACAAAAACAAATAGCCCTTTTCTATTAAAGTAGTTAAATTTTTAATAGCAGATTTTCACAAAGAAAATACCAAGCCTGGCTGGCTTTACTAGTGAAATCTATTCTAAGGAAGAAATAATACCAATCCTAAAATTCTTTTTTTTTTTCACTGTTCATAACAGACAGACCTAAAATTCTTTTAAAAATAAATAAATATTATATTTTGGGAAACCAGAATGCATCTGCTCCCAAAACTTATCGAAGATATACAAGAAAAATATTTACAAATATGAACACAGATGCTAATATCCTTAATAAAACATTATCAAGTTAAATCCAATAATACATAAAAAATAATATGTCATGATCACATGGGGTTTGTCCTAGGAATATAAGCTTGGTTTGAGGCTTGGCTTGTTGGCTCACACGTGTAATCCCAGCACTTTGGGAGGCTGAGATGGGTAGACTGCTTGAGCCCAGGCATTGGAGACCAGACTGGACAACATGACAAAACCCCATGTCTATAAAAACTACAAAAAACTAGCCAGGCATGGTGGCACACACCTGCAGTCCCAGCTACTCAGGAGGCTGAGGTGGGAGGATGCTTGAGCCCAGGAGGTTGAGGCTGCAGTGAGCCATGATCACACCACTGCAGTCTAGCCTGGGCAATAGAGCAAGGCCCTGTCTCAAAAAAAAAAAAATCTTGGTTTGAGATTGCCATATCTATCAAGTCACTCAGCATACAATAGGATACAGAATAAAAAATACAATCAATACATGTACAAATTACACTCTAGGGCCAATCCAGTGCATTAAAGCAAGACAATGAAATAACAATCATAAAGATTCAAATAAATTGTCTCTATTTCAGGACAATATGACTGTTAATCAAAAAAATCCTAAGCATCTATAAAACAATTAGAATATGCTAATTTAGCCTGGGTGTGTAATTCCAAAACTTTGGGAAGTTGAGGCATGTGGATCACTTGAGCCCAAGAGTTGGAGACTAACCTGGGCAACATGGCGAAACCCTATGGCTACAAAAAATACAACTAGCTGGACATGATAGTGTGTGCCTGTAGTCTCAGCTACTCAAGGAACTGAGGTGGAAGGATCGCTTGAGCCCAGGAGGCGGAGGTTTCAGTGAGCTGAGATTGCACCACTGCTCTCCACCCTGGATGACAGAACCAGACCCTGTCTCAAAAATAAGGGAATATGAGAATTTAGAAAGGTCACAAAATACAAAGTTAATATACAAATATTAATGGAATTTTCAAAAGTTTTATTAACAACAGTGTCAAAACCATAAATTACTCAGGAATTGATTTCATAAAGTACGTGCAGGACCTTACACTTAAAAGTACAAAACACAGCTGAGAGAAATTAAAGACCTAAATAAACTGCGAGATAGATCATGTTCAAAAATTGGAAAATTCAATATGATTAATATCTCAGTTTTCCCTCAATTGATCTATAGATTCAACATAACACCATTCATAAGTCCAGTAGGTTTTTCTGCAGACATTAACAACTGATTCAAAAATTTAGGTGAAAATACAAAGCAGTTAGCATATTGGAAGAACTCATAAAAAACATCAAAGCTGGTGGAACTTAAACTACCTGTGTTCATGACTATATAGTTACAGTAATCAAGTCAGTATGGTACTGGCATAACACTGACAGATCAACAAAACAAAACAGAAAATCCATAAATACACTACAGATACAAATCATCCCAAAAATTATTTTGAGATAGATCATAGATGTAAATGTAAGGACTAAACAATAAGGCTTTTGGAAGAAAACAGAAGAAAATATTTTCTTAAGTTGAGGTAGGCAAAGATTTCTTAGGACACAGAACATAATGACCAGAAAGAAAAACTATTTAAAAATTGGAAATAAAAACAGAAAAATTAAAATGCATAAAAACATCATTTAAAAAGCAATAGGAAAGTCATAGAATGTGACAAAACATTTGTAAAACTTTTAAATGACAACTTGAGAAGACAAAAAAACCCAATTAAAAACAGGCAAAAAGATTTGAACAGACAGTACAAAAAGAGATATATAACGGCCAACAAATATATGAAAACATGCTTAACATTACCATCAGAAAATGGAAATGGAAATTTCATTGAAATATCACTCTACTCCCACCGGAAGACGACTAAAAACACCAAATATTGACAAAGACGTGCAGCAAACAGAATCCTCACACATTGTCAGTGGGAGTGAAATATGCTACAATCACTTCGGAAAAACATCTGGCAGTTCTTTTAAAACTAAACTAAATTCACATCTAACCTATTGCCCAGCAATTCTACTCCTAAGTATTTACCCAAGTAAAATCAAAATATATGCTCATAAAATGATAGTACACACAAATGTTCATAGCAGTTTACTCATAACAGCTAAAAACTAGAAACAACCCAGCTGTCCATCAGAGAAGAATGGAAAAACTGGTTATTATGATGGAATACTTCTCAGCAATAAAAAAGAATGAACCTTTTTTTTTTTATCTTTTCTTTTTTCTTTTAAAGAGAACTCCTAGACCCAAGTGATTCTCCTGCCTCTGCCTCCCAAGTAGCTGGGCTTACAGGTATCTGCCACTGCACCTGGCTAGAGTGAAACACTTCTATATACAACAACATAGATAGATCTCAAAAACATTAGGCTTAAAGAAGGTTTACAACAGAGTATGAGGCTCTGGAACAGGCAAAACTAGACTATGGTGAGAAAAAAAATCACAATGATGGTTGTCTTTTAGGAGGACTAGGTGGAGGCAACTATTGACTGCAAAGTACTATAAGGACTTTCAAGGACTTTTTGTGTTTGTGTCCCCTCAAAACCCATATGTTGAAACCCTAATCCCCAATTTGAAGATGAGGCCTTTGGAGAGTAGCTAGGTCATGAGAGTGGAGCCCTCTGAATGGGGTTAGTAGCCTTATAAGAAGGACCCCAGAGAGCTCTTTTCCCCACTCTTTCTGCCACATGAGGATATAATGTAAAAATAACAGTCCACAACCCAGAAGAGGGCCCTCACCAGACTCTAACCATGCTGACACCTTGATCTCAGATTTCCAGCCTCCAGTACTGAGAAATAAATTTCTATAGTTTAAGACCTCTAGTCTATGGTTACTTGTTATCACAGTCTAAATGGACTAAGGCAAAGACTAGAAGAATTTTGGAGGTAAAGCCAATGTTCCACATTGCAATAGGATTTTTTAAGTGTATGCATTAGTCAAAAATTAGAGAAAGCAAAGAAGATTTGTACATGTCACCGTACATAATCTTGCCTTAAGAGATAAAAGCAAACAAATAATTGAACTGTGGATAATGTTACCATGCTGAAGTACTTAGAGGAAAGTACATTAATGACTGAAATTTACTTTGAAATATATCAAAAAATAAGATGGATTAATAAATGAAAGAGAAGAATAGACATGTATGAAGAAAGCATAGTAAAATGTTATTGGTAGAATCTTGGTGGTAAATATAAAGTTGTCACTGTAAAATTCTTTTAAATAAGATATTGGAAAAGCAAGCACAGTAAACTTAAGAGTATATTCCTTTTTCCTTTTTTTTTTGAGATAGAGACTCACTCTGTCACCTAGGTTGGAATGCAGTGGTGCCATCTTGGCTCTCTGCAACCTCTGCCTCCTGGGTTTAAGCAATTCTCTGGCCTTAGCCTCAAGGCCAGAGTAGCTAGGACTACAGGTGAATGTCACCAAGCCCAGCTAATTTTTCTGTTTTCAGTAGAGATGGTGCTTTGCCATGTTGGCCAGGCTGGTCTCAAACTCCTGACCTCAGGTGATCCACCTGCCTCAGCCTCCCAAAGTGCCAGGATTACAGGCCTGAGCCACCATGCCCGGCCTCCAAGTGAAATTTTCAACAAAAGGTAATTTGTATTTTGGAAGTATAAAATACTTCTGCTTATTAAACAATCAGTGCTTGATAGATGCCCAAATTAAAAAGCAAAAATGTTTTCTTACTCTGAAAAAGAGTAACAATAATCTTGGCCAGTGACTTAGCAAGGACACAGAGTTTCCTGATGTATATTCTTATAACTTGTTTTAGGGTGATAATTGCAAATATTTAGATTATAATGTAACTTACACATGTCCCAAGGAAGCCTCAAGCAGAACTCCAAAAATACTGCATGGTTTTGATGTTCAGATATCCTTTCTAGGAATTTTATACCTTGTTAAATATAACTAGGTTTTAAAAAGTGATTTCTGATAATTTGTACTAATATATCAACCTTATTACAGGGCAAATAAACCATGAAACCTTTTTAGTACTATAAGAATTTCCCTACTTTTATTGGCAAACACTAATTTTAACTAGTATGCACATGAATGTATGCATGTGTTTGTATGTATTTGTATATTCTTTGACATTTGTAAAGCACTCAAGCATGAATGCTCTGTCAGGTTATACATTACCTCCAGTATAGGGTTTCCAGTTATAATACTTTCCTCGGAAAGGCATATTGTCAAAGTCTGCACACTGTTTCTCTCGAAAATCTCGGGAACCCAAAGGGCATGGCTAAAATAAAATAAAATCATAAATAGTACCATTGTTGGAAAATACCAAAAGCAAGGGACAATGTCCCTAAATGAATTGCATCAAATTAACTCACTACCTTATTCTGTGGCTATAATTCTAGCATTTGCTTTACTGTTTTACAGTCAGTATTCATATTGAAGTGTGTGAATTGTCATCTTAGCTATAGAAGATATAACTGAGGTAATTTAAACAAAGTGTTAGGCAGTTTCCCTATAACTTTACAGTTGGATACATGTCATAGTTCTCTTTGCAGTCAGTTCATCAGGTATCTCCTTATAAAGACACATAAAACCTAGATGAATAAATTAAAACACAAAATCCTTTTTGGATTATTAATTGTGGTATGGACTCCCACTACTATAACTATTTACTGTTTAGCCTTGACAAAAAGCATTTTAAATGAGGAATAAAGTAGGCAAAATGCTAGACCTCAAGTAAACCACCTTAAAATTCAAGGGATTTGGACTTATTAAGATTTACAGGTAACATATTAACATCACAGAAAATATAATACAAAATGGCCAAAAACATGTACATTTGTTTGAGGTGTGGAGAAAGATGTTAAGGGGCTGAAAAGAGGATTATCTATTTTTAAAAGTTGAAAATGTTCCATGTATTCAGAAATGCTTCTGAATTTTTTTAAAGAGAGAAGTCTTGCCAATCCAGCTAGCTCTAGATTCCATATACCACAGGCTCATCCTAAACTCAACCTTTAAGTTCACAAAGAATTATAAAGCTCATAGTGTTTAAGTGATATGACTTAATTTGACTTATCTTTTAAAGTTCAACAGCTGTAGTACTTATAAACTAAAATTACTGATTTTCAAAGACTGACTGAGAAAATCTTCTTAAATATGGAAGAACAGAATATGTCATTACAGAAAATTCTGAATTGGGAATAAATGAAAAGTATGTTACAGGCACACTCAGAGATTGTTTTGAGGACTTTTTACTACCCTCCCTTAGATCTCTGAGTTTGCTTTGTATAGTTTTCTGAGGAGAATACATTGTAAATGGTCACTCTGAAGCATATGCAGTTAATAATAGATCACAATGTGCAAATATCTGCATGTTGATCATTACTTCCTATACACTACTGTTCAACTTTCACCATATCAAGTCCAAAACACACAGATTCAGAGTGTGGCAGGTCCACGCTCTGTTATGAGCCCTGCATTTTAAAATGCTTTCAGCTCATTAAAATGACATATCAATGATAAAACCTAGTGATTAATCTTGTCAAATTACCTTCTTGCTTGCCTTTAAATAAATGAAAAATATTTACCATAGGCTAAATGTTGTAACATGCTGAAAGGATATGTTTTTGCGGTCTTTTGTTTCCTGGTCTGCCAATCTTTGGATCTTTTACTTTTCAAGCTATTTTTAGTGAATCCCACAGAAGGACTAACGTTGTCAGTAGCTTTTGTCATGCAGCAAGACTACTTTTAAAAGCAAATAACAATTTTAAAAAAATACAAACAATTTGAATTCTAGCTGTAAGTTTTCACACAGCACTTAAGTATCTGTAAAGCACCAATCATGAAAGTTCATCTAAGCATGGCTTTCAACTTCTTTGGAGAAACAAGATACAAATGGAAAAATGACCATGAAAAAAGAACCATCTCGAGCAATATATATAGTATATGGCAGCATGTTATATATTGTCTATATGTGCTGGATACAAGTAAAATATAAGTGTGTCCATGATTAGCTAGGGATATATCAGTTGAGAAAAAATCTTGAACATGTACCAAAGTATAATAGAAATTGTTCTAGTTAAGAAAAAAAAAAAAGGACTTGTGAGGGAGTGGGAGACTATTAAGAATGAAGCCAAGAAAAGCCATGGGAATAGGAAGGAAAAAGGTCACATACTGGGAATGGCTGGAAAAAGACCATCCTAGATCAAAAAGATGAACTATATGGAAGCATAAGAGGAAGTGATATTTCACATGTATAAGCACTGGTACATTAAGAAGACCTTGAATTAAGAAACTAAAACATCATGAGGGCCATTCGCTTAAAGGCAAACAAAACAAAAATGCAATTTTTAAAATATCTTCTAACAATTCTCCTAAACAGAAGAAAAGTAAAATGTCCAATATGAGGGTATTACTGTTTAATGAAGCATTTGATAACATTTCATGAAATTTTTGATCCACGTTTTTCCTGTGATAACCACTCTTAGGATGAGCATAATAAAAAGATTAACAATAACAATAGCAAGCTAGTATTTACTAAGTACTTATTCTGTGGCACACTGTACAGAGATCTTTAGATATATTATCTATATACCCTTTCTCAACACTCTTTTGAGGTAGTTATAATTAATCCCATTTTACAACAAAGTAAACTGGGGTACAGAAAGGTTGCTCAGTAATAGTTTCAATGTACAAGGATACTTTCATGATAAGTGTTGGAGTCTCCTCTGGTTACTCTCTAAATGCTACAATTATAGCATTAAAGGTTTTTGCTTCCTTAAAATGTACGAAAACCTAATAGGAACAATTTGGGTTCTAGACTTAGCCTGGTCATTCCAAGATAAGAAACCCGCAAGTTTCTTATCTTTCCAAACTACTTTTTTTCTCATTTGTAAAATGAGAGGGCTAAAAGCAAGAGTTTTGGAATAAGGCAGACCTGGATTATTTCTAACTTGGTCATTTATTTAATTCATGGTCTTGAGTAATTTACTTGTCTAAGCCCCATCTGTAAACTGGGATAATACTAACATTTACCTCCTAGGGAACAGATTCATGCAAACTGTTTAGCTCTGTACCTGGCCTAAGGTAGTACTTAATAATTATTAGCAACTGTGAAGGTCTTGGGTCTAGGTGTCCTTACACTCATTCCTTACCCTTCTGTTCTGCTCTGTATTTTAGGGGAACAAACCCTGAAAGCTCCGTTTCTCAGGCTTTTTTGTCAGCTGACTTATGGTTGGGTTCAGGTAATGGGAGGCACTAGTTGGAGAAGCCAGGGTATTTTTCTCCTTTCCTCTGTACCTCGGACAGCAACTCAGGCAGAAGAAGAATCTTTTTTGTAGCTCCAGCTCCCTAGCCTTCTACCCTGTGATTCCAGCTTCTGCTATGTGATTGTAGCCTCTGAGCTCTGAAAAAACTACCTCCTATGTATCCTCCTGGTAGGAACTAGTCAGACTCTCATCATCCATGTAGTCAATTCCTTGCATTAAATTCCCTCTATTTTAATATTCAAAGTGATCTATTCTATTATAGTTAAACCTTGATTGATACAACAGTTATCATCATCATCATCATCATCATCATCATCATGAACTATTTGGAAAACTGAATAAATATAGGTTTCCAGATAATATTTTTCTCTTTAGGGCAGAAGTTGTCAAACTTTTACTGTAAAGGCCCACATAGTAAATATTTTAGGCTTTGCAGGCCATGTATCTCTGTTGCAACTACTCAACTGTGTATTACAGTGTGAGAGAACCCATAGGCAATATGTAAATAAATGGCCATGGCTGTGTTCCAGTAGAAATACTTACAAAAAGAGTTAATCAGTAAGATTGGGCCCAAGAGGTACAATGTGTCAACCCCTGGTGTAGGGTGTTTACATAATATGGATATATCTGTTTGGCAGCATTTCACAGAAGAACTGAACTCAATTATTAATTTCTCAGTCAATATAGAATCATACCTTTTACAAATTCATGTTATAAGTGATATAATCTAATTTGCATAAGATGATTGGATTTCCTCTATAATTATCCCCAAAGTGGTCATACAATTTATATAAACATACACAGAAAAAAAGATCAAACACTTTTCAAACAGCTGCAATTATTAGCAGGTTCTTCCTTACTTTCATTCAAAACCTGCCTTCTTATAGCCCAATTATCTTTCTCTATCCTTCTGGGTCCACACTGAACAAATTTAACCCTAAACTGAAAGGTATCTGGACCTTGATGGCTTTCGTAGGTGCACATCATAACTTATCGTTAGTTCTCTTAAAACAAAGCAGCAAAAATTGGCCTTAAGTATCTTTCTTTTCATGTTAGCAAGTATTCATAAAATACTTAATATGTGGCAGATATAATCTAGGCTGCAGGGTTACAGAGAAACAAAACCCAAATAGATTATATCTCTGCTTTTATGGAGTTTACTCTAGTTGGAGATGAGAAAGAAGAAAAATAAAGCAAGATAAGGAGACTGACAGTGAGGTGGGAGGGAAGTTGTTTTAAATAGTATGATCAGAGAAATCCTCTCTGATAAGGTGGCATTCAAGTGGAGAGTTAAAAGAAACTGCACGGATGATTTATGTACATATTTATATCCGTGAAAAGAATCTTCCAGAACACAGTAAATCCAAAGTCCCTAAGGCAGAAATGTATTCAGGGTGTTCAAAGAATAGTATAAAGAATGGAAAGGTTTAAGGGAATTGAAGTACACTTCGGGACTTGATTTCATGCCATTGTTTCTAGAATACATCAGCCAGTATTGTGTTCCTGATTTCATTCCATCAGGAAATGCTCTGAATTTGTGTTTATTAAATGTAGGCTCAGTTGGAGTTATATATGCTGGCTTGAAAAAATGAGAGTGAAAGAGGAATTCCTTAAGGAAAAATGTAAAATACATTTTTGTTTTGTTTAGGAATAGTAGAGAGTTTAAAGAATAATGCTTTAAGGATCCTTAAGTTACTTAAGGATAATACATGCTAACACTATGCAGAAACCATAACAAAAAACAGTGGGCGTAAGCAACAGATTTTTAAAGTAAAAGCCTGACAGATTTTCAGCATTCTAGTGCTAACACTCATCAAGCATCTTCTCTTTCAAAAAACAAACTAGCAAAGCCCTGTATAAATCTGGAGAGCAAAGCTGCAGGTTTCAGCATCTTTAGGTCTTAGTATTTTCAAAGAAACAAATTAATATTAGCATCTTTATCACCACTCTCTTCCCAGAGATCTGTGTAAGTTAACAGTCTTCCAACTATCTTGTTTAGAAGTATCTCCTTTTG